CCCTTAAAGGGACCCTTGGGGTTACATCGGAGCTTTAGGAGACTATATAAGGGGTACATAAGGGTTATATATAGGGTATTAGGATTCGGGGTCCCTGAACCCTAAACCCTAAACCCTAAACTCCCTTAAATGACCATCGCAGGATGATGAGCACCTCTTGGCTGCCAAAGCGCAACCATCGGGCTTCCACCGTGCTGGGTCGCGAGCCCATGCCAAGCGTCGAGAGGCAAGGGTTTAGGGTTTAGGGTTTAGGGGGCTAGGTTGAAAAACCCTAACCCTCAGGGTCCAAAGGACCCAATAATAGGGTACTTTGGTTGCGGGTAGTAGTTATTTAGGTTAATCTTTGGGAGAGTATATGACTATTAGGTACTTGGACCCTTAGGGTAAGGGTCCAAACGACCTGAATGTACTTAACAATCAGGGACTGTGCTCTAGTAGTTTCGTAGGTTAGTAGTTTGAGAGAGTGTATGATTTTGGTTGTAGGTCTTGGGGTTGGCTATTGGGTTTTTCAGGTTCCGAGACTTAGGGTTTAGGGGGTTGTTGAAGTTTTCGGGTATGGGGCATCGGGTTTAGGGGTTACTTATAGACTTATGGGGTTTAGGGCTATTGGGTTTAGATTTGGGGGTACAGTCTTTTCAGGTTTCGGAGGTTCGGGTTCGGGCGCAGGAGCTAAACCCTAAACCCCCAAACTGCCAGCACGGAAGCGTAAACAAAAACCCTGAACCCGAACACGCCGCTTAGGCCCCCAAACCGCGAACCTTACACCCCTTACCCCCAACTTGCCAACCCCCCGAACCTGAAGCCCTCAAAGAGACAAACCCTGAAACCCCAATCTCTAGACCTTAAAACCCTAAACCCTAAAACCCTAAACCCTAAAACCCCAAACCCTAAAACCCTAAACCCTAAACCCTAAAACCCTAAAACCCCAAAGCCCTAAACCCTGAGCCCTGAACCCCCTTATAACCAACCCCCGAATTCTTTGTCTTCGGGTCAGGGACTTCGACGCCGCGGCTTTGAGCCTCGGCGCCTCAGAGAACCCGGGGCCCAGCGTCGAGGCCATGAAGCTGGAGCTGAAGAGAGACTTGGAGGAGGTTATAGGGCTTTTAGGGCTTTAGGGGTTTAGGGTTATAGGGTTATAGGGTTTTAGGGTTTTAGGGTTTAGGGTCTAGGGTTTTAGGGTTTAGGGTGTAGGGTGCTTTTCAAGCTTCTTAACGGTTGTATAGCGGCTTTCATACGCTTTAGGGCTTCAGAGCTAGAAGGGGTTTACAGTTTAGGAGGAGGGTGAAGGGCTTTGAATATACACAGGCCTATACGTCTTAAAGTGTAGGGTTAAGGGTAGAGGCTGATTACACTTGGATGATTAGAGGATTTCGTCAGTAAACCATAATATCTGGGATTATATAAGTACCGTTGTGTGGATTATCGTGCTTGTTTCTCTATTTCAGGTATAAGATGCTTACTACTGTAAGCACCCTCGTCAGCCAAGTAGGTTCTGTTGGAAAAGCTCGGATTCAGGGCTTCAGGCTTTTTGGATAGGTGGACGCGCGCGCGCCGCTGTTCCTCGTAACTGTGCGGTCGACCCATTTCCAACCTTATATACACTTGGCTTGGAAGATACAAAAGAAGCCTAAATAGTTACCAATAGTATTTCGGGGGTTCCTTATGATAATTTCAGTATGTGATAGCCCAAAACCCTATCTTAACTCTTAAGGCCCCTACATTACATATTCAGGGCTTCGACTCTTTAAGGCTAAGGGCCTTGGAGACATCTCTGGCTTATCCTCGCCGTGTCGCTACTTTTTGTTTGAATGTACTTCGCTTGTTGTCGTCCTTTCCTATTGCTCGTCCTGCCCCTTAGTAAACACGTAGATATGATCATCTCTAGCCTATTTTTGTTTAAGGATTCTTGCCGTTACTATCGTCATACATACCTATATATAAGTATGTAGAATAATAGCCTTTTGTAGGTGTGGGGCCATTACTTTACCTACTTTTGGGGGTTTCAAGAAGCTCTGAACCCTCAACTCTGAGCCCTTAGCTCTGCGAGGACGGGGGCTGGACTTCGTCTTCTGCTTCTCAAGGGAGGATCTCCACCGGCGCCTGCGCGAGGAGATGATCGAGGAGTTTGCGCGGGAAGCGGCCGAGAGGAAGCTGAGAAGTACGTGCGAGGATGCCGGCGACTAGTGCTGAGAATAGCCCGAAGTGTAACCACTGCCTTTATGAGTTATACTTATTCGGAACATTTCTGACAAAGAAACAACGAACATGGCGGCGGCAGCAGCAGAAGGATGAGAAGGCGGAGGAGCAGAGGGTGTAGCAAGCAAAGTGCCTCGTTTGGTAATGTTTACATCAACTCTGCAAGATGCAGGAGTCAAGCCGTCCAGTAAAGAGGTGCTGAATGGTAAGGTTCTCCAACTGTGAAGGTGTGATTTTTAGTGGACCCTCGTGGTGGCGCTGGAGCGGCTAGGGGCGAGACGGTCCATACTTCTCCGATGCTTAAGCCTGCATCCGGAGTCTGAGAAAACACTGACCCCGTAGGCTCTGAATGGATATGTAAGCTTATACTCTTAAACTCAACGCCAAGCTAAGCACAACACTCCTACGCCACGAGCCCATATTATTCCTAAGCCTGGTATCAAGCGCAACAGAACACTAGTACCTGCCAGTGAACCTACGTTGGCATCCTCCTTTGATCCCTGCACTGGTGTTTCAGGTGGATATTGCAGCAAGCGATGTTCCTGGATTTACCCTAAGCCCGAAGCCCTAAACCTCAAACCCTAAGCCCTAATCCTACATTCTATAGTGGTCGTTATATGCTGGGAACATTGCCAGACACCGATGCCCGGTAAACGCCGCCTGAGGCGGCACTAGGCACAATGACCCAGGACGGCTGTCATGGCCAGGCACCGGTAAAATTGAATCACATCTCGCGATCCATGTTCACGGAATAGCCGTATTCTCTATAACTCCAAATTCGAAACTCAGAACGTCAGGCCGCTTTTTTATCGACTAGAGACATTGGGTGAGAACTATGCAACCCTGAAGTGCTGAGCCGTGAACCTACCTAGACCCTCCATCTTCCCTCTATTAGACCCTAAATACCCTTAGTTTGGGACCATATACCCCTATTTGAAGGTACTTGGAGGGTCCTGGTAACGACGTGGTTCAGAGCCCGGCCTCGAAGCTTGTCAAGCCTTGGCCATCGGAGCTGTCAGCGGCAAAATGTCGTGCAAAAAGTCGCCTTCAACGGACGGTTTCGATGAATGAATTTATAGGGCTCTAGAGAACTTGAGAGGGATATACTTGTACGCACAGTTTGAGGTATAACGCGCTAGGCACTTGCGACCCAGAGGTTTAGTTGTCATACACCAGCTCTAGGGAAATTCGATTGCGGGCGCTAGTGCTACCTTATTACTTGTCCTTACGAGAGAAATTCGCATCAATCTTCAATGGCGTGGAGCTGTGGAGCCTCATTGCGATTGATATGCAATAATTATGGCACTGGAACTTCAGTGACAGCGGAGCCTCAAGAAGTAGGAAGTCATTCGTTCAAAACAGAAGGCTGCAAAACTAAGACTGATAATCATTGCGTGTGGCTCCTTAACACCTATAAACCCTAAACCCTAAAACTTAAACCCTAAACCCCGATCAAGTATGAAGGCTCCCTTTGCGGGCCTAGGGTTTCCTGTGTCATGTGCTGGAACAAGAAACCCCGAAACTCGCCGCTCCGAACCTAGAATCCAAAGCCTTTTGCCCAAAACCTGCATCGAACCTGCTTAGAACCCCGGTTATGGAACCCATAAACCCCCATCGAACCCTTGAGTCAAGTCGATTCTCATGGTTAAATCTCTGTACCCTAAACCCTAAACAGAAAACCGCAATGAACCCTGTGCCCTCGGATTGCCCGAGGTTTCCGGATGACACAGAGGAGGGGTGCACAGCGGAGTTTGGTTTATTAGCTTGAAAGGCTTCTTTCAGGGTTCCGTACCGGGTTCCATTAAGGGTTGCTGTCGGGTTTAGGGTTGAGGCTAAGTGTTTCGGTTGTCTGCGTTTAGGGCATAGTGCTTCTGGAGTTTGGGGAGTAAGAGGTTAACATAGAAGCCTAAATAATTACCTACATTATTCCTTAGGGTCCTTAGTATAATTATAGTATAATGGGCCCCAAAACCGTGTTCTAATTATCAAATCTTCTACAGTAAGGAGCCTCTAAACCCTAAACCCGGCACTCGGGAATCGACCTCGAACTCGGACCCTTTTGACGGAACCGGTACATCTTACCTTTGGGGTAGCAGCTTCGGGGCTCTCAGGGCTCAAGATACCCATAAGGTTAGGGTTTAGGGTTTAGGGTTTAGGTCATAGTCTCCTTTGCAGTTCCTTTTTTGGGGGTAACCAATTTTATGGTTATCACAGGATGCTCCATTGTAATTCCTGTTTTGTGGGTAACCAATTTTATGGTTAGGATCCTATGATATTAATTTGGTTAACCAAAAAACGGAACTGCAATGGAGACTATGACCTAAACCCTAAACCCTAAACCCTGATCCCTGAAAGCCCCGAAGCTGCTACCCCAAACACCCCGCAGGCTCCTAATCATAGCGGCGAGCCAGCGCTGCTGGACATCACCCATCTAGGTGGTTCTCTAAATTGGGGTCCCTATCAGGGTCCTTCTTATAAGAGTGCCGCACTATATTGGGGATTCAGAAAGGGACCCTAATTTAGAGAACTGCCCATCTAGTTTTCTGAAGCAAAAACTGCCACAAAGGCCAAGCCTTAAGGCTTCAGGTAAATGCCAAGTCCAAAGTTCCCTCCTGCACGGTAGGACTTGGGGGGGGGGGTAGGGTTCAATCTAGATAAAGTTTGCGTATTCGGTTGTATCTTGAAAACCTACAACCCCAAAGCCTTCTGGCCCAAAATCTTGCCCGCACATGCTGCCGCGGAGGAGAGCGCCGCTAGCGGTGATGACAGCGACGGGGAGCAGGTTTGAGTTAGCCAAAGGGAGTTTTGGGCCATGACGATGATGATGATGATGATGATGATGATGATGGCAACGATCACCACTATATGTAGGCTGTACTGCTGTCTTCAGTATATATGTAGCTGAAAGGTTCAGGTTGAAGCACGTAGGCCCTGTCTTTGGACAGTCAGGTTTCGGCATGAGGAGTTCAGCACACGAGGCATTCATGTAACGTAGGCTGCTTCGTCCACAGTTTTGGGTGTCGGGGCTTCGGGGTTTGATCGTGGTCCCATCTACCCTTAGCCTTAAGCCCGATTGCCCTAAACCCGAAGAGTCCTAAGCACACCCTCAACCAAAAACCCTAAGCCATCCTAAGCCCTAAAAGCCCAAGAGGTCTGAACCAGACCTGAAGCCACAAAAAAACTACCTCTTTTCGGGTCTATATCAAGAAACCATAGCACGGACCCGGAAAATGGTAGGTGATTTCGGCCTACGGGTATGGAGCTGCAAGACAGGATGACGAATCATCCTGGCCCTACACTCGATGCCCTTAGCATGCCTGCACTCGAACCTGTGGAAGTTATGCGCTTCCTCAATCACGTTTCTGCGAAAGCCCCGTGCCGGTAGCCCTTAAGAGCGGTGTGTCCCCTTCGATGTGTGCAATGCAATCCTGTTGCACGCACGGGGGTGAGGTGTGCACAATCAAAAGCTATGCGCTGGCCCCAGGGTCAAGCCGTAAAACATTTGAACATTCGCCAGACCGTACAAACTACAGAAACCTGTAACCACAACGCTCCCTCAACCACAGACCCCACAACTACCCCTAAGCCAAACGATCCTCAACCAAAAAAGCTCCTAACCCGCTTTGGAAACCCCCCGCCAGGTCGGTTCTCTCGAGCTCCGTTTGGGTACGGGACTCGGAGGCAAAAAGCCTACCATTTTCTAGGTTTAGGGTTTAGGGGGGTTCTTTTTCTATACTTAGCTCCTCTACTGAAGCCCTTAAGCCCTGACCGACCTGAAAGCCTGAAACCCTAAACTACCCTGGAAAGAGTTTCGCACCTTGCTTGGGTCCATGATTGGTCCGACTTTGGTTTGGATTCGGGCTTCGGGCCCCAACGATTTCTCGAACCGTGGCAGAGTTGAAGTTTCAGGTCCAGCGCAGCCCCTTCAACACGACGGTTTAGAGTTTAGGGGTTCCCTAAACCCTACAGCCCCACACGCGCTTCCTGCAATCATAGGGCATCGAATCACCAGAGGAAGCCTACATTCGCTCCTACTACTGGTACATACCGAAATCTACACACCCTTAAACCTTGGCAAGAACTTGGAAAATGTAAGAACCCCAGACCCTAAACCCCAAAAGCCTACTGACCCAGGCCGAGAGGATCCTATAGCCATTGAGCTGGTTCTTCGCGTCGCTTCCGGGGGAGGTCCGAGATCTTTAGCACAGCAGCCTTAGGGTTTAGGGTTTAGGGTTTAGGGTTTAGGGTTTAGGTCTAGGAATCTTTAGGAACGATGGGGTTTTGCGGCTCAGGGTTTAAGCCTGTGAGGCTCGGGCCCGGGCTTCCAAGTTGAACTTCCGGGCCGAAGAGTGCAGAGAAGCGGTCAGAATGTGAATACGGCTGGTTTAGGGGTTTGGGGTTTAGGGTTTAGGGTTTAGGGGTTTGGGGTTTAGGGTTTAGGGTTTAGGATTTAGGGGTTTGGGGGGTCTGGGGTTTGGGGGTTTGGGGGTTTAGGGTTCAGGGGTTTAGGGGTTAGGGGTTTAGGGGTTTGGGTTTAGGGCTTTACTACTGTTGATGGACAAAATTCTGCATGACCCAAATATAGTATAATTACCATAAATCCCATAGTTATAGTTTAGGTACATAAGGTTATGCAGGATTTTGCCCATCCACCGTAGCAGCCAAGAGTCCACGTGAAGGGCTGTGCAGTTGACGCGAGCATCCCACAAGCCGAGCAGCCTGACAACCCCCGCTGTAGCATAGTGTAGTATAGTATGCACCCAAAGACTGCTTCTCTCGCAGACCTGGGAGGCTAAATTAGCTTTATAAACCCTCAACCCACAACCCTAAACCCTGAACCCTGAACCTTTTGACCCAAAACCCGCCAGTTCAGCAGACGACGTCCTTCATCCCCTGAGCATCCCCCAGCTCATAGTATAGTCTGATGAAGAACTCCCAACCTGAAGTCTCAAGAGCTCAGAATCACCCGCGGCCATAGTTTAGGGTGTGGGGTTTGGGGTTTAAGGTTTAGGGTTTAGTATATAGTATTCCGTAATTAGGGTTCCTGATTGTAGTTCTGCTATGACGTACCCCAATACCCTATTCTCATCATTTTTGTTGCGGCCCGGTTCTTTATATTTCCCCCGAAGTCCCAGAGCTTTCGCAGACTAGGGCTCTGGCATGTGTTTTCGTCCCCGACTCTCTCTCCTGTGACGCGTGCGCGATGTTGGGCCACTGCCGTGCGCTGCTCTGGCTGCCGGTGTTCCTTCACCCGGCCGAGGCAGGAAACCGTGCAAAATAGGAGCTTCAAACATTGCCTTTTCTATTTTGGGGGGGTTCCTTATTATAGTTATAGTATAAAGGGCCCCAGAACTCTCTGGAGCGAAATGGTCCTCTGCCCCATAATTAGGGTCCTTTCAAAACTTTTGGGGTTCCTTAAAGGGTTTCTATAGGGTTTCTATAAGGGAACTATCCGAGTCCCGAACTCCGCAACTTCAAACCTTCAAGCCTCAAGCCGCCAATCTGACCTTAGATTTTCAAGCCCCCTTGACGTTTCGGCTAAATCAGACCAGGCTCACCCACATGAGCCTTGAATCCTATCCTATGGCTCAAAAAATAGCCCAACAATCTCGTATGGTAGGGTATTTCAGCCCTACAGCCTCAAACCATGAACCGTGAGAGACAGCACGGGCTTTGACTGCCTAAGTTGTTTAGGGTCTGGCTCCTATCCTTCAGCTCGAAACTCTATCCCCAACCTCTATGACCTCCAACCTCTCGCAGCCCTAAGCCCCCAACCCACCCGATGCCGAACCCTAAACCCGAAACCCCTAAACCCTAGACCCTAAAGACACCCTAGACCCTAAACTCCTAAACCCTAGACCCAAAACTCCTAAACCTGAAACCCCAGACCCCCTAAACCCCTAAAGCCCTAAACTCCTAAACCCTAAACCCCAGGCCCGCAAGCTCAAGAAGCAAGCAGCAGCACAGGCGAACACCATCTCTTATCCCCTCGAGAAGGCAAGCGGCTGCCTATTGGAAGCTTAGCAAGGCTACCTATATAGTCTCCAGGGTTTAGGGTTTAGGGAGTAGGGTTTAGGGCTTAGGGTTTAGGGTTTAGGGTTCAGGGAGTAGGGTTTAGGGTTCAAGTTTTTTTTGGCTTAACCAACTATGACTTTAATCCTACAAGGTAGCCCCGAAAAGGAGCTACAATGGAGACTGATTGAATTCAGTCATAGGCAAGAGCCTCCTTGCAGGCAAGAGGGAGCGGGTGTGGTGTTTAGGCTTTAGTAATGAGGGTGTGGGGTTTAGGTTTCGGGTTTAGGGTTTTAGGGTTTAGGGTTTAGGGTTTATTCAGTAATGCTGGTGTAGGGTTTAGGGTTGAGGGTTTAGGGTTTTAGGGTTTAGGGTTCAGAGTCGCCTCTGGTTGAACTCTGGTACACGAACTGGACTCAGAAGCTTAGTAGCTGAGTAGGTAGCATTGAACACTTTTGGGGTTCATACAACTCAACCAAAATTCGGAAGGCTAGTTTTTTTGGGGGCTTGGGTACTCAGTTGCTCATTGAACCCTTTTGGGGTTTATACAACCCAACCAAACTTCAGAAGGTTAGCCTTTTTGGGGCTTGGGTACTCAGCCCCAAGGTAAGGCCTAACCATTGACACGGTCAACTGTTCGCAGAGAGGGCGGCAGGTCTGAGAAGTATGGCAACATGAAACCCTGCAAAATCCTTACCTGAGCCGACCAGAAAGTAGGGTCCCCTATAAATCCCATATTGTGGTTTAATAATAAGAACCTACAAAAAAGTGGGTCTTGGTCTTGGTAGCTTGAGGTATGCCCCGATGAAACCCACTGTAACCTTCAAAGTTTGGGTGGGGGTATAGGTGCTTGAACTCCTAGCTTAGAAGCTGCGTAAGTGGTGCTTTTTCAATTGTGAACCCAGCTTGGCCACTGAAATAAGCATGTAAGACCATGTGATCATTGTTCCAAGCCGGTAGGTCGAACGAACCCAATGGGCCCAAGCTACTCGTAAAAGAGACTTGCCAGACAACAAAGGAAGCTCCAGTCGCAAACCTTAGCCTAAATCCGAAACCTCCCCAAAGCGATGACACACGCTCTATGCCAGAACCCGAAACCCTATAAACCGTTAAAACCAAACCCTAAACCCTAAACCCTAAACCCTAAACCCTAAACAGCGCCTCCGGCTAGGTGTCGTTCATCGGGCGGTGGTGGTCGGAGGGCGGTGCTATGCATGCGTCCTGGGGAACCGAAGCTTGGCTGCAGGTGAGGGTTTAGGGTTTAGGGTTTAGGGTTTGGGCGTAAAACTGCCCTAACCTTAAAACCTGAACCCTAAACCCTGCTGCAGGTGAGTTGTGTAAGGCTTCGGGGTTGGGGTTTGCAGTCAGCGGATTGCTCTTAGCCTTAGTCTGTTGGCTGTGACTGCAGGATTTGAGGTTTTCAAGCTCAGGACCCTGGGCCATTTAGCTTCGTAAGACACAGTTGAACCCTGATATAGAGGTATGAAGGAGTAGTAATGAGGTTGGGGGCTGGGCTTCAGGGTTTTGGGGTTCAGGGTGCTATGGCTCACCTCGCGATGTGAAGGAAAAGTCACTGTGATGCAAACCTTGCCACTCAGCATTTGGGGGGTCGTGCTTGCTGCAAGCATCCCTCACTGTCTTTCACAAAGTTTCAGTTGCTGCGATTTGTGTTCGGTTTGGTCCCGGCATATTTCGTGTTACTATGTAATTTGATGTGACTACAAATACTACCGCTGCTACTACTACTACTACTACTACTACTACTACTACTACGACGCCGCCGCCGACGACGACGACTACTACTACTACTGGTATGGCTCTTAGTATGAGTACTAGTCGATCTTGTTTGATATTGGAAACTCAAACCTAAACGTCAAAGCCAATGATCTTGCTGTCACATGTACTGTTTTGTCGCCCCGAGGTCGGCTTCCAAGTGACCTTCCAGGGCTCCTCGAGGTGGGCCGCCGCCAGGGCTTTGCAGTTCTTCTTGTGGGGTCTAGGCTTTGAGATTTGGGGGGGGGTTGGGGGGCGGCGTCGGGGTGGGGCATGTAGGGATGAGCGATAGTAGCCCCTGATAGTTGCTTAGGTTTTGATAGGCGCCTCAAGGATTTACTGTTTTGCAGGCCGTATACAGTCATTCTGTACATAAGTTGAATATAGTATACCCAAAGACGCTTTAAACCTAATCACAAGCAACCCTGGTAGCGCCCTGTAACGAGTTCTTAAAGTTAGTCTGGGCTTCCCGGGGCCCGACCGCAAAGTTAGTGGCATTGACAGTAGGAAGGTGATCGCAAAGTTGAAGCCAGAACGTGGGAACGGCACTATCCCCATGCCTGCTGAAGGTAAAGTATAGGGAACCCCAGCACTCGTCATCCCAAATCAAATTCCCCACAAGATGGCGTTTAGCATGGGATATATGGGGTTACAGGCCTTGTAGTCATCGGAGTAGGGTGTTGAGGTAGATTTTAATATAGCCGCATCACGGTGAATCCCGAAATTCTCCGATACTATCCGATTACCTTGATCAGCAACTCTTGCCCAAGGTTGGTTGCAAAGCTCCGACCGTATCGTGTCAAGATGTATCACACCTGCCGTATCAATGGCAGAGAGCTTCTTGGATGCAAGCGATGTTCAGGATAGGCTTTGTGATTGTGGGTGAGAGACTCAACTTTGGACCATCGGGCAGGGAGGAAAGTCGTCGTTTGCCAGGGGATATGGTGCAGGATGCCAGGGGAGCCGGGACTGTGCCATGTAAGTTTCCTCAGGAGGCTCATTCTGAACAGGTTTTCCAAACGTGAGCCTGCGCTTGAGAATTGAGTGCCGCCTTGTCTTTCACTGCGTTTACACCTATGTACCCTGAAAGCCAGAATCTCAAGAGCCATCAACCCTAAACGACTTATTGGTGGCTTCGCATTCTCACGCCCTATAACGCCTCAAAGCCATATCCCTGCTCTCCAGCCTGAACTTGACACGCAAACTCTACATCCTAGACCCGCAACCTTCTTCCTCCAGCCTCAACTCTACACTGTAATCCGATATCTTGAACCCTACATTCATACTCTATGGCCCTCAGCCCGCAATCAATCCCGGCAGGATAGTCCTGGAGCATCAAACCGGTGACATGCTCATAGCCACCGGGCTCTCGACGGCAGAGACACATACGACACTTGGACGGC